CAAGCTTGGCATATTATTTGACATGTGTTATTTATATAAAAAAATGTGGTGTTATCAAACACATTACTTTTTTATATCAAAAATATTGGAATGCTATAACCGAAATCTATTAATTATTTAAAATATATGAAGGGATACATACATTAATACAGTAAAACAGAATATGTTATTTTCAACTTCAAAGTAGCTGTGGCATTCATAAAAATATTCCTGATCTTATGTTGTTTTTTTGCAGCTACACGCATCCTACAATGGCACACAACTCTTTCTATAACCTACTTTTTCCATTCTTTGGTCACATTGATAACTGTGTCCAATTCAATGAAGTAGATCACCTAGGAGTGTTAGGTTTTGAAAATCTTGTATAATAACAACCTATTATGAAACCAATTAACGCATTGCTTGGGTTGGTCCTCTCCTCTTCTTACATGACACACATGCCATAATGTCATTTTGAATCTGTTCATCACACCCAGAGAGCAAATGATAATTCAAAGAATCCCATCTATCCCAGCCATCGTCAAAACTATTCCCTGTATGGAGTGTATATTGTTTCTCATGGGCAATCCGGGTCTCACAAATGCTGTATCGCTTTTGCTGAGTTCGATGACAGTATTTAAGGCTAAAGTGAAATCTGGCGTCGATTTGAGGAGATTTGATTATTCTGGAATATTTATGCTTTAGGTTTAGACTTTTTAATCTTGTTGAGATCTCTAAGTAAAATTCGATTTACAGTAAATTCTATTCGCATCACAATCTGAGAAATCAATGTTGGAAGTGTAAAATGTTCTACATTTATCACCCAGTATCAGCCTAATGTAGTAGTTTCAGAACCAGGTCATATGCAGATAAAAGCCCTTTTTTTTCTCTGCCACTACAATGAGATGGATTTTCTCTACTGGAAAATTTACCAGACTTAATAATAATAATAATAATCCTTGCATTTGATATAGCGCTTTTCACGTTGGGAGGACGTCCCAAAGTGCTTCACAGAACACACTGTAAAGTGAATTGACTGTATATTTGTGGGCGAACGCGGCAGCCAATTGCGCACAGCAATGTCCCACAAACAGTCGTAGATTGAAAATGACCAATTTATTATTGTTTTGGGTTTTCAGTGGTTAGAGCAAGCGAGAGACCTGAGTTCAATTCCAGGCAGGGCAAAACCTTGGGCAAGTTTCCTTACTCCACACGCCTAATAATAATCCCTCCAAAAAAACAAAACAATAATAAATTGGTCATTTTCAATCTACGACTGCCCAACCATCAGCGGTCAGGCCTTCACTTTACAGCATATTCTGTGAAGCGCTTTGAGACGTCTAGAAGACATGAAAAGCGCTATATCAAATGCAAGGATTATTATTATTATTGTTATTCAGCCTCTCTGCCCCCACCCTTTGGAACTCCATCCCATTGCCTTACCCCCTCCTTTACCTCCTTCAAGGCACGTCTCAAGACTCTCCTGTTTGACCACACTTTCGGCCATCCTCCTACCCTCCACCCCTCCTGATCCCAATTCTCTGCTCGTGTCCAAATCCCTGACTGTCCAGCACCTTGGGATGTCCTCCTAATGTGAAAGGAGCTATGCAAATGTAATTTGTTGTTGTTGAAAGTGAGTGAGGTTATCATTTGACACAATACACTCATTTTTAATGTCCTGCTTCGGAAAACGTAAAATGGAGCGGTCAAATTCCGTTTGAAGTTTAAAAAACAAACCCACTTTTGAATTACCAAATTGCCAAAACACTATTTCCATTTGATAAAAAGAAAAGAATGACACAGCCATTGAACAGAAAATTATTTTATTTACATTTTATACAGTGTGTCAATGCAGTTTGAAGGACATATTTTTAAAATACGTTCAATTACATTGTTACCAATTTGAAAGGGTTTGAAAATATTTTCCCTTCAGTTTGTAAATAAACAACAATTACTGCTGAAAACAACTTGCACATTGTATCAAGGCTCTTCCTGGTGCTTTCCTTCTGGAAACAAAATGTCAAATAAAAACAAACAAATCAGAAACGCACAAATGCGGCAACCAACTTGTGCAAAGGAATGTCTCACAAACACAAAGTGAATATCCAATTTTATTTGGGTGGGGGAGGAATAGTTGGCCAGGACACCAGCAAAAATTCCTTTTTTGAACAGTGCCATGGGATCTTTAACATCCACTCGAACAGGCAAGTGGGAATCTCGGTTTTAATATTTCACCTGAAGGACGGGCAGCTCCGACAATGTTGCAAACCCACAGCACGGCGTTGGCGAATGACTCTCTGGGATCCGAGTCGAGGTGGTGTTGGGTGGAGTTAATGATAGGCTTGTGAAATAATAATAATCCTTGCGTTTGATATAGTGCCTTATCGTGTCCTCCGGACGGACGTCTCAAAGTGAGCGCTTCACAGAATACACTGTAAAGTGAAGTGGGCAGTCCATACAAGGCTGAAGGTACAAGAAGCAATGACCCCCCTGAGCTGATGCTTCTCTCTCTGTCTGTCTATCTGTCTCCCTGTATCGCTCTCCCTGTCTCTTGTCTGTCTGTGTCTCTCTCCCTGTCCGTGTCTCTCTCCCTGTCTCTGGCTCTCTCCCTGTCTCCCTGTCTCCCTGTCTCCCTGTCTCCCTGTCTGTCTGTCTGTCTGTCTGTCTGTGTCTCTGTGTCTATCTGTGTCGCCCTGTCTGTCTGTCTCTCTGTGTCTCTCTATCTGTATATCCCTGTCTGTCTGTGTCTCCCTGTGTCTGTCTGTCTATCTGTCTGTCTGTCTGTCTCTTTGTCTGTCTCCCTGTGTGTCTGTCTCTCTGTGTGTTTGTCTCTGTGTCTCCCTGTGTCAATCTCTCTGTGTGTGTGTGTGTCTCCGTGTGTGTGTGTCTCCCTGTGTGTGTGTGTGTCTCCCTGTGCGTGTCTCTGTGTGTGTGTGTCTCCCTGTGTGTGTGTGTCTCCCTGTGTGTGTGTCTCCCTGTGTGTGTGTGTCTCCCTGTGTGTGTGTGTGTCTCCCTGTGTGTGTCTCCGTATGTGTGTGTGTGTCTCCCTGTGTGTGTGTGTGTATGTCTTTCCCTCTGTGTGTGTGTCTGTATGCGGATGACACCCAACTCTACCTTTTCTCCTCTACCCTCAACCCCACGACCACCGATGTCCTGACAGTCTGCCTGTCTGACATTGAGTCGTGGATGAGAGACAACTTTCTTCAGCTCAACGTGCGCAAAACTGAGGCCCTCCTGATTGACTCACGTCAGCGCCTCCGCACCTCAGGCACTGACAGCATCAGCATCCAAGGCTGCACTCTCCACCTCTCAAAGCCGGTCAGGAACCTCGGGGTTCTGTTCGACCCTGAGCTGTCCTTTCTCCCTCACATCCGCACTACAACTGGCACCGCCTTCCATCACCTTCGGAACATCGCCAGACTACGGCACTACCTCACCCCTCACGCTGCTGAAACTCTGGTCCACGCCTTTGTCACCTCAAGGCTGGACTATGGGAACTCTCTCCTCGCCGGCCTTCCCGGCACCTCCCTCCACAACCTGCAGGTCATTCAGAACTCTGCAGCTCATGTACTGTCCCGCACCGGGCTTCGCGACCACATCACTCCCACCCTCGCTCACCTCCACTGGCTTCCCATCCCCCAGAGGATCGAATTCAAGATCCTCATCCTCACCTACAAGGCCATTCACGGCCTTGCTCCCTCCTACCTCTCCGACCTACTATCCCCCTACCTACCTGCCCGTATCCTCCGTTCCTCTGTCTGCTCCACATCCCCCGCCCCAACCGCCCTACCATCGGTCTCCGGGCCTTCAGCCTCTCAGCCCCTCGGCTCTGGAACTCTATCCCCCAGTGCCTTCGCCGCTTCCTCCCTTTCCTCCTTCAAGGCCGGTCTCAAGACCTTTCTCTTTGACCGTGTCTTCAGCTCCTCTCTCGACTCTCTACCCCCTCCTCGCTCCCTCCCCTCACCCTGACCATTTCCCTCCTGCTCGGGTCCCGATCCAACTGTCCAGCGCCTTGGGACATCCTCCCGACGTGAAAGGCGCTCTATAAATGGAATCTTCTTGTTGTTGTGTGTGTCTCCCTGTGTGTGTCTGTCTCCCTGTGTGTGTGTGTGTCTCCCTGTGTGTGTGTGTGTAATTCTCCTGTGTGTGTGTGTAATTCTCCTGTGTGTGTGTGTGTGTCTCCCTGTGTGTGTGTAATTCTCCTGTGTGTGTGTGTGTCTCCCTGTGTGTGTGTCCCTGTGTGTGTGTGTGTGTTTCCTGTGTGTGTGTGTCTCCCTGTGTGTGTGTGTCTGTGTCTCCCTGTGTGTGTGTGTGTGTCTCCCTGTGTGTCTGTGTATCCCTGTGTGTGTGTGTGTCTGTGTGTCCCTGTGTGTGTGTGTGTCTGTGTATCCCTGTGTGTGTGTGTCTGTGTGTCCCTGTGTGTGTGTGTGTCTCCCTGTGTGTCTGTGTATCCCTGTGTGTGTGTGTGTCTGTGTCTCCCTGTGTGTGTGTGTGTGTCTCCCTGTGTGTCTGTGTATCCCTGTGTGTGTGTGTGTGTGTCTGTGTGTCCCTGTGTGTGTGTGTGTCTCCCTGTGTGTGTGTCTGTGTGTCCCTGTGTGTGTGTCTGTGTCTCCCTGTGTGTGTGTGCGTCTGTGTGTGTGCGTCTGTGTGTGTGTGTGTGCGTCTGTGTGTGTGTGTCTGTGTCTCCCTGTGTGTGTGTGTGTCTGTGTCTCCCTGTGTGTGTGTCTGTGTCTCCCTGTGTGTGTGTCTGTGTCTCCCTGTGTGTGTGTCTGTGTCTCCCTGTGTGTGTGTCTGTGTCTCCCTGTGCGTGTGTGTGTGTCTCCCTGTGTGTGTGTCTGTGTCTCCCTGTGTGTGTGTCTGTGTCTCCCTGTGTGTGTGTCTGTGTCTCCCTGTGTGTGTGTCTGTGTGTCCCTGTCTGTGTGTGTCTGTGTGTCCCTGTGTGTGTGTCTGTCTGTGTGTGTATCTCTGGCGCTGCCCTTTTGAGCACCAACTGGTCCAGAGGGTGAGTTGGCGCCTGCGCGCTGCGGACGGGTGACGTCGGTGTCAGCTGTGTGTGTGCGAACGAGTGGTGTTGTCAGAGCGTCGGCGGCCCCGTCCCCGAGAGCGGCCCCGGGAGCGGCCATGGAGGCATCGTGAGGTGAGGAGGGGAGGGAGAGAGGGGAGAGAGAGAGAGAGGGAAGGAGGAGGAGAGAGAGAAGAGGAGGGGAGAGAGAGAGAGAGAGAGAGGAGGAGAGAAAGAAAGGAGGAGGAGGGAGTGGAGAGAGAGAAGGAGAGAGGGTATTAGAGAGAGAGAAGGAGAGAGGGGGCGGAGAGAGGTGAAAGAGAGGTAAGGAGGAGGGGAGGGGGTGAAGAAGGAGAACTGTGATGTGGGGAAAAAAGAAAGGAGAGAACGAGAGGGAGAGGGAGGAGAGGAGAGGAGAGGTTAGAGGGTCAGAACACAGGGGTTATTGATGGGGTGGAAGGATGAACACGGTGGGGAGTGGATGGGCGAGAAGAGTGGCAGAGGCAGGGCAAGTGGGTGAGGAGAAGGCCCGGGCAGGGCAGGGCAGGGCAGGGCGGGGCAGGTGATAGCAGGGCAGGGCAGGGTGGGGTGGTGAGAGGAGAGGCAGGTGAGAGGAGAGGAGAGGCAGGGGAGAGGCAGGGGAGAGGAGAGGCAGAGGACAGGCAGGTGAGAGGAGAGGAGAGGCGAGGCAGGGGAGAGGAGAGGAGAGGCAGCGGAGAGGAGAGGCAGGTGAGAGGAGAGGCAGGTGAGGAGAGAAGAGGCAGGGCAGGTGAGAGGCAGGTGAGAGGAGGAGAGGCAGGGGAGAGGAGAGGAGAGGCGGGGCAAGGGAGAGGAGAGGCAGGGGAGAGGAGAAAAGAGGCAGGGCAGGGGAGAGGCAGGGCAGGTGAGAGGCAGGTGAGAGGAGAGGCAGGGGAGAGGAGAGGCAGGGGAGAGGAGAGGCAGGTGAGGAGAGGAGAGGCAGGGCAGGGGAGAGGCAGGTGAGAGGAAAGGAGAGGCAGGGGAGAGGAGAGGCAGGGCAGGGGAGAGGCAGAGGACAGGCAGGTGAGAGGAGAGGAGAGGCAGGGGAGAGGAGAGGCAGGGGAGAGGAGAGGCAGGTGAGAGGAGAGGAGAGGCAGAGGACAGGCAGGTGAGAGGAGAGGAGAGGCAGGGCAGGTGAGAGGCAGGTGAGAGGAGAGGCAGGTGAGAGGAGAGGCAGGGGAGAGGAGAGGCAGGTGAGGAGAGGAGAGGCAGGGCAGGGGAGAGGCAGGTGAGAGGAGAGGAGAGGCAGGGGAGAGGAGAGGCAGGGCAGGGGAGAGGAGAGGCAGGGGAGAGGAGAAAAGAGGCAGGGCAGGGGAGAGGAGAGGCAGGGCAGGGGAGAGGAGGGGCAGGGGAGAGGAGGGCAGGGGAGAGGCAGGGGAGAGGAGAGGCAGGGGAGAGGAGAGGCAGGGGAGAGGAGAGAAGAGGCAGGGCAGGGGAGAGGCAGGGCAGGTGAGAGGAGAGGCAGGTGAGGAGAGGAGAGGCAGGGCAGGGGAGAGGTGAGGCAGGTGAGAGGAGGGCAGGGGAGAGGAGAGGCAGGTGAGAGGAGGGCCTGACAAGTGAGAGGAAAGCCTGAGGCAGCTTGAATGAGAGGAGGACAGGGCAACAGGATGGAGGGAGGGAGTGGCTAGAGGAAGGGCAAGGCCAGGCAGGTGAGGGGAGGGCACAGGACAGTGAGGACCAGAGAAGGGAGTGAGAAAAGATGAGGAGGGGAGAGGCTGGAGAAAAGGGGAGTCAGGTCATAGTGATCGTTAAGGAATAAATAACCAACAAAGCACTTTGGGATCATGTTGGGGATACTTCTGAAGGACCTGCAATTTTGAATTGTTTTCCTTTTCCAGGGCTCCCCGAAAGGATCCCTAGAATAGATGTTTACAAACAGAAGAATTAGTCAGCAATCATGTGAGGAGATTGGCATTTAACGAATTAGGTGCATGCTGCTACAATTATATGCAGTCACTGTCAGAAATTTTGTCGAACTCTTAATGGATTTTAGTGAATTGGGGCACTTGGAGAATACGATGACTAAAAGTACTAAAATATGTACCGATCTGATGTCTCTATGACAACTCACAAATTACTTGTTGCGCTTTGAGGTTATGGCTTGGATTAAATTAGCAAATTCATTGATCATTTCAAAAGTCTTTGAAGTGTTCTGAATTCATAATATTTAGTTTCGTACAATAATATTGTTCGAGCATTTAGTCAACAAAAATTAAAGTCAGGCTTAATTTGAAAGCTGTTTCTTTTTAAAACATTGCAGAAAGCTGACTTTGAAATTAGGACTGAATTAGTTTTCACATAATTCTTTGCCGTCTTAAATTTTTAGCATAAAATGATCTTGTAGGTTGAGACTGGATTTTTAGGCCTCTGGTGGATTATGTCTGGCAGCTCCGAAGTTCATTTATGAGCTTATAGTAATGTCCAGTGCCTTTGTGCATTGTTTGAGTCACATATGAGATGTGCAAGTTCTAGCAAGTTGCCAGAAATAGATTGTGAATCGGGACCTGATCTTGAAAGTAATTTTCTTTTGTTCAGTCCCAGCAAAGGCTTTTTTTGGTCCTGGCTGGAGGGATCTATTTGCCATCACTCCATAGAATACATTTCAGGGCTACAGTTGAGAATCCACTAAACAAATGGGATTGCTATGGGAAATCCCAGATTGTGGTCTGTTTGAATTATGTGATTGGAATTTTTTGATTATATGCAGTATCCTTTCACAGGACTGTATCTTTGTATTAAAGTAGTTTTAAGGAAAGAACAACCCCAGATTTTTTTTTGTGCAAATTATGACAATGTGGTACTGTTCTTACCTGGCAGTTCTACCTGAGCTTTATAAGGAATATTTTAAAACAAAATTTGAGGGCAAAGATGGTATAGAGAGGAGTAAGACTGAGGAGGTGACACCCAAACTGATGCTAGGAACTGTATGAAGTTGCCTACCAAGGCTGGCAAAAGGCCTTTGATAAAGCATCACACAAATGAACTCTTTACAAAGAAATGTCAGTGGGTTTTGAGGCTAACAAACTTGTGGAACTGTCTAAAATAAAGAAAGCAGAAGGTCATCAGTTTAGTTCAGTTGGGAGCCCGCTCATCGTTGAGCCAGAACATTGTGAGTTCAAGACCCACTTTGGGTACTTTGAGCTCATGGTCTGGGCCAGGGGTCTCCAACCAGTCGCTCACCACTAGGTGGCACTCTCGTGTATTATGAAAAAGATAAGGAGTGATAAAACTGTGTAGTTATTAAGTCCAATTGAAAATGAAGTCAGAGGCATGAAGTATTTCATGCATTTCAAAATAAAAATATAAACGTTAATTTTTAAACACCGGTACATATCACTGGTTCCTTGTGTTTTTATTGAGCATGTGCCTGACACCACCTAGCAGCTGTCAACCGGTTGGAGACTCCTGGTCTAGTCTAACTTTCCGGTGCAGTCTTAGGGTGAGTGCTGCATTGTTGGAAGTGCTGTCCTTCGGATGAGGTGTTCAACCTTTTTGACCTGTTCAACTGTATGTTAAAGAAGCCATAACGCTATTTGGAAAAGGAATGAAGGGTACACCTACGGCAGTGAGAGTGTAGAGCTAGGTCGGTGTGAGGCCATAAAAGCATTTGAAAGCGAGGACAAGACTCTTGAATTTGATCCACTGGATGAAGGGGAGCTAGTAGAGCCGAGCGATACTGGGGTTAATGGTGAATCAGAGCCTGGTGCTCTCATTGTGTTTCAAAATAATTCCGTCCCACCATCGGAGATCGCGCTTTCAGCCACTATGCCCAAAAACTCTGGAACGTTCTCCCTCAATCCCTCCACCTTGCCCCCTCTCTCCCGTCTTTCAAATCCTGCCTGAAAACTTTCCTCTTCAACAGTGCTTTCAGCCACCTCCCTCTGGATCCCCTGGATCGGAGTCAGGCTCCGCCACTGTTAAGCGATCTGAGAACCTATCCTATGTGGAGGGTGCTATATAAGTGCAAGTTGTTGTTAGTTCAGGAGAGGAATTAGGCTGCAAGGTTGAAGCATTTTCGCATTTAAAATGTAGCTGATAATATAGACTGATTTTCTTTCTAATATACAGTACAATGTGAAGTAATAATATTTTATACAAACTAGACCATTATGTGTTTAGCTTGTAAATACAGTAATATGTTTGAGTACGTTTCTATGACCTAGTGCCCCTTTAAGTCTGAATGATTAGTCGTAAACAATTACCATTGGTGGTTTCATATACGTTTTATGAATTGTAACTTTAAATTTAGTCTAATATTGGTGCTAAATTTCCGACATGCAATTTTTCACGTGCTGCTGATACAACACGAGTTCTACCCAACATTAGAAATAAAGAGTTGGGTTTTTGAACTCATTGGGAACACTTTCTTTACTATGTTATTGAATGCTACGCAAGATAAACCTGAATTTCTATCTGCTGTATAAGATGCACATAATGAGCTTAAGTAAAATTTTGCATACATTTCAATCTAGACTATACAATGATAGGTTAGCTGACATGAAACTGGGTGGATCAGGTTAACAACACCTTATCACTATATCTGCTTTAGTAAACCATGAATTTGAACTTTACACACCCGTCTGTTGAGGATTGAATGTCATATAACTTTCTGTAATGATGTACATGCTTGAATTTAATCTGATAAGTCTGGGTGGCAAACATAGTTATAGTATTGCTTCTTTTTTTAAAAATAACTATATTTTGAGGGGGAAGGTTAGATGAAGAGTTCAGAGTTACTGAGCACTGTGTTCATTTTTGTTGTGTTGAGAAGTTACTCAGATACTCCAATGTTATCTCATTTTGGAGTACTATTAGTTCTTTTTCTCCTAAAGTCCTGTTGAAACTTTTGTATCCCAGTAGAAAAGACTTCATTGTTCTGTGTTCCATCAGAGACTAGAATGATCTAATTAAAGATTCTTCAGTTGTGGTACAAAATTGGTAGTGGGAAAGCTGATTAGTGATTCGTTAACAAAACACAAAATACTGCAGTTGCTGGAAATCTGAAACAAAAACAGAGAGAGCTGGGAAAACTCAGCAGGTCAGGCAGCATCTATGAAGAAAGGAAAATGAGTCATTGTTTCGAGTCCACGACCCTTCGTCAGAACTAAAGTGTCGTT